GGAATGAGGTGATTAAATGCTTAATGGAGAAGTTTGAGATCCAGGGGAGTACGCTGGGCATACCCACCTGGTATGCTGCGCGTACTAGCTCCAAAGGGTGTACGTTGGGCGTACTAGATGAGTACACAGGGCGTACTCGGCCTAGTTGACTCTTCTTGTTTTGTTGACTCTTTGGGCTTTGGGCCATCGACCAGGAGTTGGTTAGGGTTGACCATTCATTATTTCAAGACTTTTTGGATATTGGACCTTCTCGGGATAGGTCCATGATGGATTTGGGCCTTATTGGGGGTAATTGGGCCTTATTGTGTCCTTTTGAGTTTGGACTATCATTTGGGCTTGTATTGTTTGATATTTAGTTGGGCTAGCTATGAATACGTGTTTTGGTTTAGAAAAAGTAAATGGGCTTTAGGGAAAAGGCCCATGTAAGGGCAAGGCCCAATTTGGAAAATTAGGCCATTAGTGGGATTTTATGAAACTTGTGGTTTTGGGCTTGGGCCTTAGTTGTGAGTCTTGTTGGGCTAGGGGAAAAATGGTTATTTTACCCTATGTTTGGATTATGGATCATGGTTTGGAACCCACTTGCTAATTGGGTGATGTTTTGGTATTGTTAGATCTGGAAGTTGTCAGGATAGTAGCTAAGGATTTCTTGCAGTGAACTACAACATTCAAGGTGAGTCTCCTTTCGTAGAATTCGTGGGTCGAAAGCGCCAAGGTCAGCCCAATAGTTGTAATATGGAATGATGATTGTCTTTGTGATAATTATCGGTTGTATATGTATTATTTGATCATTCTATGAACTATGTGGGATATCATTTAGTAGTGGTAGGGGTGAAATAGACCCGGTATCGGGTTGAAATAGACCGAAGGGTCGAGCACCTAGATATGCTCGAGAGTATCCGATTGAAATAAACCGAAAGGGTAGGTTTAGTACCCAGATATGCTTGGCAGTATCCGGTTGAAATGAACTGATGGTGCAGGTCGGGTACCCAGATATGCGAGGTAGTATTCGATTGAAATAGACCGAAGGGGATAGGCTAGCACCCGAATATGCTAGGCAATGTGCTTACTTTGTATGTGGTATGTGGTATTTGGGGAAACTCACTAAGCTTTGTGCTTACAGTTTGTGGTGTATGGTTTCAAGTACTTCAGGTTCGATAGGGAATGGCTTGACTTGATCGTAACGCATACACCCGTGTTTTCTGTAATATGTGATTTTGGGAATGAAATCTAATAAATGTTTTGTATTGAAATGTTTTGCAATGTTTGGAAAGGATTACTCTAGTGTTTTGGATATAATAAAAATGAAAATTTTACCCTTGACTTTTGGGATATTACAAATTTGGTGATGTTACATGTTCGGGTTTTGGGATTAATCTCTCCTTAGACATGTAAAGGTATAAAAGTCGGAGAGTTTGTGGATTAGGACACCTTTTAGGGTCAAATTTGAGGTTGGGGTAAAGTATCTTAACGATTAAGACTTAAAAGTTAGATTTTGGTTGAGATCTCGCACACCAAGCGTAATTCTGGCTACGCCCAGCATAGCCAGTTGCGAGCCTGATTCCTTGCAACCGTGTGCTCTACACCCAGCGTAGAGCTGAGTACGCTGCACGTAAGGCCAACTGTTGACTTTATTTGACTACTATCTAATTGTCTCTTCAAGTGAACTTGTGAGGGTTTTGGTCTTAGAAGGGGAAAAAAAGGCCTTTTTCCTAGATGTAAGTCTAGTTCTAGTAGTTCAGGGGTGAGTTCTAGTAGTCATTTGTGTGTGTCGAGTCTCATCACTGCTCTTAACTGTGTGATAGAATACACACACATACAAATATATATATATATATATATATATATATATATATGTGTGTGTGTGTGTATGTGTATATATATATATATATACACACACACACACACATATATATACATACACACATGTAATGACAAGCTAGGTCTATGTGCTATTGCTATGATATGTGTTACTGTGTGTGCTCAGACTTCGGGTAGTCTCCAGGGTTGCTAATAACCCATGACTATTTATTTTGTGATGCATTATATGTGATATTTTGGTGAACTCACTAAGCTTTGTGCTTACATTTGTTGATTAAATGTGTTTCAGGTACTATTGAGGATCGTGGGAAGGCGAATGCTTGATTGTATCCATCCGCCTGCAATTCAAGATATTTTGGGACACTCTGATATTTTGATGATGATATGTATTTGACATTTGTGATTTTTTTGAGATGGTTTTTATGAACCATGTATTTTTATGAATTTAAAAATAAAAAATTTGGTTTGGAAATTTAGATGTTACACGTTCATAACTAATATAGACAATGTCGTTATTTCTTGTATAATCCATCTATTCCTAGATTCTTGTCATGGGTAATATTGTAAGAGTGTAACAATGTATATGTGCACACAATGATATTGTCATATTTATATACATATTTATGCTTTATTTTAATACATTTATATCATATTTTAGTTAATTATGAACATATTTCGTACTTATTAACTTTAAATTCTACTTTGTAACCAAAATGGGCATTTTCAAGGAAAAAGGACCAAAATGAAGATAGCTGGAAACTTGGAGGTCGAAGCTAGTATCAAGAGAGAAAGAGAAAATGAAGTCGTGCAAAAGAATGCATGCCACGATGTGGCAATCTCAGGACCATGACTTGGCCACCTTTCCTAACACAAAATCTTCCTAAGACATGGGGCATATGAGTTTTAAGTGAGTGCCACAGTGTAGAAATCTAATTCCCACGTCGTGGTGACTATTTTTGGTAACTATATAAGTCGATTCTTAAGTCGAAATTTGGAGAGTGGTTGGAGGATCAAGCTAAGGGCTATGACCAAAAACCGCTGGAGAACCCTTGAAAGATCATAAATCATTTGGAGTTCAAGCATTGAAGATATTTAGAAGAAGAACATTATTAGAACTCGGTTTGCTAGTTTTTACTATGTCTTATCTAGCTAAATAAGATTTATTGCTTGTTTCCGCTTTAGTCATGGGCTAATCACCCTATAGTTTCATTTAGTAATGATGAACCCTTAACCTAAGCGTTGATTTCGAATTTATGGATCTTTTATGTGGGTTTACTAGTGTTTGATAAATCATAATCCTAATAGTATGTTGAAGTTCTAGCTTATATTGCTTATTTTACAAGTTTTATGTAGCAGATGATCACTCTATTTGCATGAATTTGTTATCTAGTTTTTTATGAACATTAAATAATTAGATCTAGTGATTGAACAATCCTAGAGGTAGGTGAATAAAACTTAGTTACTTTGAATGTTTTATAGAGCATAACTAATCCATAATCTGTGCTTGATTTACTTGTCTTGACCTTATATATGCAATTCATAGATTCATCATTCATAGTCCAATTCATACTGATATTAATTTTATGTCTTACTTATGCTTGATCATTGCAGGGTAATTCATAAATGGGAAAAAACTAGGAATCTATACATGATAACTAGTAACTTAAGGAATTGGTAAGCAATATAATTTGTCCACTAGAAATCGACCACGTGAGACAGGGAATTTAGAACTAAACGGAAGTACTCTTAAACTTGAATTAAAAATCGTTTTCTTTGCTCTCATAGTCTTAGTAGTTGCTTAATTGATAGTTGTTTGATTTAAGTTGTTGGTCTTGCTAAATCAGTACCCCCCCCCCCCCCCCAATTTAAAGTTATTTGTTTGTTTAATTGTTAGTAGTTATTTTCTAATTAGAACTATGTTCCATGTGTGCGATACTCGACTTACTTTACTTTACTATAATTTGACTAGGTACACTGCCTAAGTGTGATTAATTAGTTAAGTTTTGTTAGGTTTCTAAATTAAAAACTAATAGGTATATAAATTGCACATAAGTGGAAATAGAACATTTGAACCTTTGCTCTGGCATACATGTAGATCACAGACTATGTTTGATTTTCAACAAACATTCTGTTGGCTAACCCATAATGCATGTGAGGTGCTTGACAACATCTGTCATGCGTAATGGACAAGAACATATGTTCCTAAAACTCATTGTAATTTATTCAACATTGATATTCTAGAATTCCTCCTGATGTTATTGGTTAATGAATACAATGTAACGATAATAATGCTTACTGAGGTAACTCGTGAGTACATTCAATGGATTTTTGTTCAATGTTGTCAAATGTGAGGTACAATAATATAAAATATTGAATTATAATTTAGTTGTAAAAATATCATAAATCATAATGTTTATTTTTCAGGGAGGTTGACTAGCATACTCATCCCGTATGCAAAGTGGTCTTTCACAAGAGGATGTAAAAGTTTGTTCGGTGGCAGGCAACAAAGTTCCTGTCCGAGATCCGTCTCCAATCCCGTCGAACATTTTTCATGTTTTTAATTTTAAACAACTTATGTCGTAGATTTGAACCACCACACATGTTAATGTTGTAAGTAACACAGTCTCGATATATATAGCGTGCAGTCATGCTATTGCGAGATTACATTATTGAAACGTTAAGAACTTTGAGCATATGGTTCAGATATATTACCTGACATATTACCGGACTGGTGTGTTCCGAACTACATACCAGACGCAAAATGTGCATCCTGTTTCCCTCCATCTGAATGAGAAATGTTAGACCCACTTATAGTCATTTAATCCCTATATAACCAGATATTTATTTTTATCGTAATTAATTATGTTTGTTATTGATTTAAAGCGACAAATAAAAACTATTATTGCATATTAGTTTTTACATATTACAAAGTAAATAACATAATTTAGAAATATCATATAGTTATTTCACTTATAAATCACAAATTACATAAATACAAGATCATTTGGGACCAATGATTCTAGTAAAAAAAAAAACTCATTTTGGACAATGATGCTACTTCAAAAAAATTTAGACCAAAGTAGCGATTTTTGCCTAACCACGAGGACCATTTTGTTGTTTTGTCTTAAAGAAACTTAAGTAATGTTGCCATGTTGGTACATTGCACGACTCGTTTGAATGAAGTGCCTTCCCCCTCCCACCACTTTCTCTCTCACACAGATTCACATTCAATACGTGTGAGACAAAATCCAACACCAAGATACATCATGTTTATGTGAATGTGTGTGTGTCTGTTGACAGACAGAAGGGCTATGACAGAACATGCCGAAATTAATCCTTTTAAAGTGATGTATATTTACGACATATTTCAATGATGTATGCAAAAATGGAGCTTCAACTGGCCCTGTCTCTCTCTTCTTCTTCGTCTTCATCTTCTACACAGTTTGATCTGAACGATCAGAACCATGAAACTGTACAAGGAAAAGCCATGTTTGGGTTCATGAAAACGGAGGATTTATTGAAAAGGAAGCTCTGCGTTAATGGCGATGATGATGAAGAAGAGTTCCTTGTCCCTGAAACACTGCCTCTTCTTTTCTGCAACAATAGTAACGACGATTATGGTGATGATGTGAATGAAGTTGAATCCACTTTTATGTTCATCAATCACAAGTAATTATTTTCGCTTTCCTCTTTTTTTCTTTGATGATTATCATGGTATTTAGATTGTGATTTTTTGTGAAAGAAACATGGTAGCCTTAGTATATACTCTTTTCCATTTTATTGAAAAATGTACTAGTTATTATTATTTTTGAACAGCATATATAATTATTATGATAAATATGTTAGCTTATATGTAATTAATTAACACGATAAATATGACTAAACCGACATGTTACTACAAATTAAAGTAATCTAATTTTTTTTTACATGGCAAAATGGGTCGGGTCACTTTAACTTCCATGCACTCTTTGATTTTTCTTTAGAATCTTTAATCAATAGATAATATGTTAAGTGGAGAAATCAAATATCCTTCTATCTATATCTATATAGGAGAATATTTGTTTGGTTTCAAAAATATTTTTAATTAAATTGATTTAGAAATTAGAAGGCTTTATTTGTTTGGTTTCACTTAAGGCAACTTCTACGATCCATTAGAAATAAAATGCAACTAAGGTTGACTCGTTTATCCTTATATAAACCGACTGAATTAAACTAGTACATATAAAAAAATTGTTTCCATTGTAAATAACTCTTACGGGTTTGAAGGCATACATTAAGATCTAATGAAATTTATATGGTTCGTCAGAGCCACTCTACATGCCAAGTAGAAAAGATTTATTATTAATTTTGTCAAATGTTTACAACTACATAGAAATCTATATATAAAGCTAGGCATTTGAGGTATTTAACTTTGACCATTAAAACATATTAGATTTCCATCATAAAACTGCATACGACATGTTTGTCATATATATTGACTATTGTGTTGGTTTTCTATTAGAAACGGTGGAGATGAGAATGGTGTAATCGGGTGGCCACCGGTGAAATCAACGAGGAAGAAGCTTTGCCACCAGAACCATGGTGGCAGTGGTGGTGATGATGGTCGTCGAGGAAGCGGAGGGTCAAAGTCAATGTATGTTAAGGTGCAAATGGAAGGAGATGGAATTGCAAGAAAGATTGACCTTAACCTACACCATTCTTACCATACACTCGTTCACACGTTAGCCAATATGTTTGGGAAGTGTAAGTACCTATGATAATGTGGATTAATAATCACACAACTTTTTTTTTTTGAGTATACTACTATTAATATACCCTTTTATTTATTATATATTTTCTTAGTTTGATAAAAACATCAAATCAATATCAAATCAGTGGTATAATAAGTAATTAGGTATGCATATTTAATAAAGTAAATATTAAAATAGAAATGTATATTTAATAGTAGCGAGGGTGTATGAATAAAATCACATTTTTAATATATGTTATAAAAATAATATTGTTTTTAGATATTATATAAAACATTTTGATGTTGAATTGTTTGTCAAAATACTTATAGATGTTGTCTTTATAACATGTATGATCATGATGTTGGAGAAACAGGTAAAGAAGAAGTGAAGCTTACGTATCAAGACCAAGAAGGGGATTGGTTGCTTGCTACTGACGTGCCTTGGGGGTATTTTAGTAATTCATGCGAAATATAATTCAATAAAATCTAATCTAATACATGCTTACTATTCACAATGTTGGTCGATCAGGATGACATTCTTACCCCTATTTGTAAATTTTGCAGATCATTTATGGAGGCAGTTCAGCGTCTAAAACTACTAAGAAGTAGTTATTGACAGATTTGCAAGATAGACCCTTCATCGTTTTGGTAGAATTGAAGCTAGAAATATAAGTAAAATTATTAGAAATATATAATTTTGTGTTATAAATACAATGCGTTGATTAATTATGTGGTATCGCGTGGTTTTTATGTAATGGTGCGAATTCTAGACGACATGTGCGGATTTGATTTCATAACTTTCTTGTATTTGTCTGAATGAATTTTACTGTTTTCGTTTGCTTTTATTTCATTTGTTATACGCTTTTAACGAGTGTTTCCTGTTCCTTAACGACTATTCATGATCGTGTATATTATTTATGTGTATATCCTCAAGGAGCTATCAGCTATATATTCATTAGTGAGAATGGGATCAAGGAAAATAGTTAGTTTGGATGATGATCGTTTGAAGTCTGAACTATGATTTATGGAGAGTATTATGTTAAACCATTGTAATAGTTTTGGAGTCTGAGATTAACATGTTCAAATAAACAAAGAAGCAACAACACTAGCAAAAAAAAAAAAAAAAAAAAAAAAAAAAAAAAAGAATGGGACCAAATTGACTCAATCATCTCGATTTGTGGATTTACGGAACAATTCTACCAAAAAAGATGCCAAAGTTGTTCAGCTCGACAATGAACTACGTAAAACTACTATCGACGATTCAAAAATCATAGAATATTACATTCGGATCAAGGCGGTTGACGACTGGATTGATAATATTGATGTTGCAGTCCCAAAAAAGAACCTTGTCATGTACACCATCATTGGATTGTCTCCCAAGTTCGATTATATTGCCAATTTAATCCCATCATCCTGTGCACGTTCGTATCTTCATGAAGACAATATCCATGCTTCTCCTTGAAGAACAATCACTACAAGAAAAATCATTATTAGTGACTAATTTTTAGTGATGATCAAAAATTTGGTCATTGAAAGCATCTTTTAGTCACTAGAAATTAAATGGTCACTGAATTTTGGTAATCCCACAAATTTAATGACAAATTATATGTGGTGGTCACTAACTCAGTCACTAAAATGCGAAAAAATTACACTATTTTTGTTTCATATCATAACAACTATTTAGTGACTAAAAATAATTGTCACTTTGTTAACTATATAGTGACTAAGAATAATGGTCAATATCTTAGAAGCTTAGTGACAAAAAAAAAGTGGTAACTAAATTGGAGGTTTAGTGAACAAATATAGTGGTCACTAACTACTCTTATTTAAAACTACATGTCTACTCTTTAAATGGGGAAAACAATTAGTGACCACCCAATAGTGGTCAGTGATGAATTATAAGAAAAAACAATTAATGATCATAAAGCAGTGGTCACTGACTATATATATATATATATATATATATATATATATATATATATATATAATATATATATATATATATATATATATATATATATAAAACTAAAATATTTTTAATAAACTTTTTATTTTTGAAAATAACTACAACTTTATTTTCTTTTTATACATCATTTCGCAAAGACTGGTTATTTATATGACTGGTCCTTATCAAACATATTACTATAATAATCTTTGGAAAAAGTTGAAAAAATAAAAAGAAAAACACATTTGAAAAAGTATGTTGTATTTATATTTTGACTAAATAAGGAGACTTTGGTAATTTGACCAAATTAATTATATAGATAATTTTTGTAAACATGATTATTTGCTTTAGTAAGGAGGATAAACAAGGTCGACTAATTTTGACTACTAATAAAGAGGAGTATGCCCTAAATCGACTCAATATCTCTTTTGCACTAAATTGATACACAACCATCTCGAGTTTGACAACCTCGAACTCAAGGGCAACTCCGTACCATCAAGCTTTCTCCATCACATCTCCTTCCAAGCATTCAGATAATCCGAGATAACCTCCCTCCATCGCTACAATGACGTTACAAATTCATCATGTTTGCTGGCTGATTCCGCGCAACCGTCAACTATATCACCGTAATCATGGCCAACTAAACAGTTTACCATCGGCAGAGATGTTCACTGATCTGTTGCTTCAACCAAGTCGATCGATAGTAAAACCTGAAAAAACTTGAGGTCTTCAGTGAAGGTGAGATCGAGCTTGGAGATGTCCGGTCCAACGGTCGTTGTAGGTCAGGTTACCGAGGTTGATAAGGATACATTTTGGCCGAGGTTGATAAGGTTGATAAGACCGTAGTTCTAGATATGTACACTCAATGGTAATGAATTAGCTCAATTATATTCTCCTGCATTTGCTATTATTTAATTCTGTGATTACTTTTCTAAGGAGGTCAAATAGGGTATACTTCTCTTTTGTGATATCGAAACCCTAGACTTAGCTCCGTGGAGTGTTTTTTTAAGGAATAAATCATCAGAATCAACAATTTACAAGTATCATCACTAAAACACAAAACTCAGAGCTTACAGAAAAGCTTCACAACTCTGAATCAAGAATCCATGAATTGCATTTACAAGTGGATGACATGGCTTCTTTCAGTAACCAGTTGGAGCTGCTTCACAGAAAGCTTGATGCATTAATTGGGGGCATTTCTGTCATTCATTCAAGTGGAGCAATTGTTGGTGACAATATCTTTGCTCGTGTGGCTACTTCTGTTGATGCAGCCATTGAAGTAATCCAAGATTTCCAGGTGGGTTGGATATATTTGTCCCTTTATCATTTCAATAATATTGCTTATTTCATTTTTTTAATTTTAATCTGGGTTTGGGTTTGGTGTGGCGGGAGTGATTTTTACATTCGTGAATCTAATAATATCCATTTTCATTTTCAGGTATCGGCATATTTATATTCCTAATGGGCTAACACTCCATGATATAGCTCTGTTGCTTGCAAATGGTCAAAGTATCAAAACCAGCAACAGTGATGACATGTGTGCAGTATGTGGAGATAGAGGAGAGTTGATGATTTGTGATGGATTCCTTCGTGCTTTCCATGCAGGTGAAAGCTTTATCTGTTCATTTTAGTTAAATATTCAATGCAAATCTAAATATCTAATATATATAAGCTTCTAGCTTTCAGTTTGTCTGGGAGTAGTAGATGATGTTTAATCTGAAGATTGGCATTGCCCATATTATAGAGACAGTATTGGGTCTGGTTCTAGTAGAAAATCATCTGTTACAGAGTCAAGGCCCATTGTGATCAGACTCACATGTGTTGTTAAAGCCCGAGAATACGAAACTGGTGGCTGTGTTATCTGCAGGGCCCATGATTTCAATGTTGCAGAGTTTGATGATCGAATAGTAATGCTATGTGATCAGGTAGGTAAATTGTAATATATATATATATATATATATATATATATATATATATATATATATATATATACACTAGTGTGTTTGAATATTGTTGCAATGTGAGAAAGAGTACCATGTTGATTGTTTAAGAGAGAGTGGGAGATGTGATCTGAAGGCGCTCCCATCGGATAAATGGTTTTGTTGTGATCACTGTGATATAATTCATGGTGCTATTCAAGATGTGGTTGTGAATGGCGTAACTGTAATTTCGGCTGCAGTTTTGAGTATAATAAACAAGAAACATCAACATGTAGACAAAGAAGGAGTCACAAATGAGAAAACCGCTATCCTGAACATTTTGCCCCTCCTCTCAAGGGTTGCTTCCATTTTCCGGGTGGGTTGGATATATTTGTCCTTTTACCATTTCAATAATATTGCTTATTGCATTTTTTAATTTTAATCTGTTGATGCAGCCATTGAAATAATCTAAGACATGATTGTTTTGTTATAGAGTTATAATCTTGCTAGTCAACTTGGACAATCTATAATTAAACCGGTTCCAAGTTTATTTACATTCAAGATTGATGATATCCGGTAGACAGAGTTATCTGGGGTATTGATTATAGTTTATTATGATTATATTAAAAGTAATTATCATTGTTTTTTTCTTAAAAGATGATGAGGATTTGAAACAGTTTTTTTTTTCCAGATTATATTCCTGAAAGTGAAGCCAAGTTTAAAGTTTGAATATTTGAAGAAGAACATTCCATAGCTCATCCAAGTAAGTTTTTCTCATGAATTTTATAAAAAAACTTATAAATTTATAAATATACAAATAAATAAAAGTACATTGCTATTTCTTTAATTTAGGTTAGGACAATGTAAGTTACACATTGGGACTTAGTGGGCCCGTAATTCTTCGCTTATCTGCTTTGGGGGCTTGTGATCTTCTTGATTCTATTTATAAAGGCAAGAAACCAATTTCTTTATTATTTATTTATTTATTTATTTATTTTAATTCTATAACTTTACTTACATATCAATTCAGGAACACTTCTTGTTGACTTTTCTCCCGATCTTTCAAATGAAGTATAAAGGCGTTGATATCTCAACCCAAAAAACAATTTCCGGTCTTTTTTATTCGTAAATCTTTAAAGTAAATTCAACATTTTTTTTAAATTTGGTGTCATATTTTATGTTGGTATACATTTTGCAGAAACAAAAAGTAGGGTATTAGGAGAAACGATTTTGTAAATATTTGTTGAATCGTGAGGTTTGTATGATTATTTTAATTCGAAAATGTGAATTATATTACGAGAAAATCTTATAAATTTTTGTGTGTAGGGTATTGATGAAGATATATTATGGGCTTCTATTTCAAATAACTCATTGATGTCAATAGGTACTCCATTAAAGCAATGCTCTTTTTTAGTAAAAGGAAAGGTACCATATAAGTCAAAATTGGTCAATTTTGGTTTTTATTTTTTTCAATTCAACAAGTTAATATTTTTGTCATAGTATTTGTTTTTGTAATCCTATTAAGCATTTGAATTAATTTAGGGCCAATTTAAGGATGAATTTGTTATAGTTGGAGGTGTTCCATTATCTGAGGTGTCTCTCTTTCTTTTCTTGTTAAAAATATTCACATTCTCTTTTGCTTTCATCTTTTTGATATATTTTAACTTGTCTTTCTTTCTTTTCTTGTTTGCTTACTTTTTGAAACAGATACTACATGGTGTCATAGGTAAGTTCTATACTTCTATCTCATTGATGAGCTATGACTTCATATTTCATTTCCACCATTTAAAATTCAAGAAAGTATAAATTTCTTATTTTTATGTTGTTTTTGGCATGAAAAAGGCTTGGTACGATCCCCAATTTTAGCAACATTGCCTCAAACACATTCAAGATTGTATAGAGTTTTCCTGAGGTTAGAGCTTTCTTCCTTTTAGCTCTTTGATCGTTAGTTGGAGTATCACTAAGGTAAAAAATTATTTGAGCTTAAAGAAATGGAAGAAAAAAATAAATGATTTCATTATTTTGTAACCATATATTATTTATGGTGATGATAATTAGATTATTAGATACTCTTTCTTTGGGACAAAAGAGGAATTTGATTCTACTCCATACTGGCTTTTAGGGCTCAGGTTTGACCTTAATTCATTGGTTAACTAGGTTCAAGAATTTATTTCTCATTATTTTTCTACTCTCTTTTATAAAAATTGTAACTTTTGGTTATGTGAGTGTAGGTATAGCACTTTTCTTGTGTTATATCCAACTGGCATATAATATAACATTTACTCAAGTAAAATTGCTATGATCTATAATGCATTGCCTTATATGAAATTAACAACCCTCCATTCCTACTACCATTTAATATGACCGTTTTACCCTTTTCTTTTCCTTGACTTTTTGTATTAAGTAAAAAAGAGACACCTACATAGATAGCTTACCATATAATACAACCATTTTACCCATCTATTTAGAAATGATGCTTGTTAACAAAGAAGTAGTATCTAATTCTTGCTTGAGTAAATGGTCAACTTATCCTTCTCTTTGATTAATGATCATTTTACCCTTCTATTTAAAAACAATGCTTGCTAACAAGGAAACAAT